CCTGCTGGAATGAAACAGACATCTTGGTGGCTTTCTTTAAACTTGGTGAGACTTTGAGAAAAATTAGGGAAAAATTATTTTGGGTGCTTGCTGTCTCGCCAGGGCTCCGGATCCTCTCTTTTGGGTCTGGTTGGTCTCTGCTCTGTCAGGGCCTCCTAAATTTGTGCTTGACATCATGAAGACCTAGCTAGCATATGTAAACATCCTGCAGTTTCCTCAGTGTGGGCAAGGCACATAGATAATGATAAGAATAGTGTGTCTTCTCTGAATGAATGCCTGGAGGAGATCATGGGCTGGGCGAGGAGAAACACATTGAGAATGAATCCAGACAAGACAGATGTGCTTGCCATCAAGGAAGGGTCCTAATCTGGGAGTGGAGGTGTGTCTACCAGTCCTGGATGGCATTCCCCTTGAAAGACTGTGTTCACAGCTTGTAATTCTTCTGGATCTGTACCTCCCAATGTCAGCATAGGGAGATGTGACAATGGTCAGGAGGGTTTACTACCATCTTACTATCAAGTCAGGAATGCTTACTATCAGGTCAGGACTATTTACAACTATCTTACTATCAGTTTCAGAGTACTTACTATCAGGTTGGGAGTGCTTACTACCAGCTTATTACCAGGTCAGGAGTACTTACACACTGTCAGGTCAGGGGTGCTTACTATCATCTTAATATCAGGTCAGGAGTGCTTACTATTATTTTACAACTAGGTCAGAGGTTCTTACTACAAGTTTACAACCAGGTCAGGAGTGCTTACTATCAGGTCAGAATTACTAACTACCATATTACTACTAGGTCAGGGATGCTTACTAGCACCTTACTGTCAGGTCAGGAGTGCTTACTATTAGCTTACTATCAGGACAGGAGGGCTTAGTACCAGCTTTGGCTGATATGCCAGCTGTGCCCCTTCCTAGATTTGGAGGCCCTGAGGATGGCAGTGCATGAGCTGGTAACCTCAAGCCTGGACTCTTGCAGTGTGCTGTACACTGGGTTGCCTCTGTATCAAGTTCTGAAGCTCCAATTAGTTAAAAATGCAGCAGCCAGATTGGTTACAGGAGCACCCAGGAGTGATCACATTACACCTATTTTAAAGCCACTCCACTGGCTGCCAATTCATTTCGGATAAAGTACAAAGTCTTAGTTTTGATCTTCAAAGTCCTCCATGGTTTAGGTGCAGGTCACCTCCGGGATCACCTTCTGCTGCACGATCCATGGCCCTTTAGGGCCCCAAGGTCCTCTGGAGTGACTACTCTACTAAGAAGGAGACCGTAGAATGATCTCCTGTAAGAGATCCAGTAGCTAAACGGGGTGTCGCAATGCGAAATGCAATCGAAGACCCATCTCTTTGGGCAGGGCTTCTCCAGTCAACTTTCAATCATGACTTTTGATTTACATTCTGTTGCCACTATACGTCAATTCTGTATTTGTCTTTGTGTGTGTGTGTGTGTGTGTGTGTGTATGCCTGTGTATTTATCTATGTGATTTATTGTATTTTTATGTTCATTTATTTTTGAATGTGTTGTACTCCACCTTGAGGCATCAAGAGAGGCAACTAATAAATAAAACGTATTATTAATTGGGAGGGATAGCCAATACTCCAGAGGACAGGAGCAGGATTCAAAACGATCTTGACAGATTAGAGAGATGGGCCAAAACTAACAAAATGAAGTTCAACAGTGACAAATGCAAGATACTCCACTTTGGCAGGAAAAACGAAATGCAAAGATACAGAATGGGGGACGCCTGGCTCGAGAGCAGTACGTGTGAAAAAGATCTTGGAGTCCTCGTGGACAACAAGTTAAACATGAGCCAACAATGTGATGTGGCAGCAAAAAAAGCCAATGGGATTTTGGCCTGCATCAATAGGAGCATAGTGTCTAGATCTAGGGAAGTAATGCTACCCCTCTATTCTGCTTTGGTTAGACCACACCTGGAATATTGTGTCCAATTCTGGGCACCACAATTCAAGAGATATGACAAGCTGGAATGTGTCCAGAGGAGGGCGACTAAAATGATCAAGGGTCTGGAGAACAAGCCCTATGAGGAGCGGCTTAAGGAGCTGGGCATGTTTAGCCTGAAGAAGAGAAGGCTGAGAGGAGATATGATAGCCATGTATAAATAGGTGAGAGGAAGCCACAGGGAGGAGGGAGCAAGCTTGTTTTCTGCTTCCTTGGAGACTAGGACGCGGAACAATGGCTTCAAACTACAAGAGAGGAGATTCCATCTGAACATGAGGAAGAACTTCCTGACTGTGAGAGCCGTTCAGCAGTGGAACTCTCTGCCCCGAGTGTGGTGGAGGCTCCTTCTTTGGAAGCTTTTAAACAGAGGCTGGATGGCCATCTGTCAGGGGTGATTTGAATGCAATATTCCTGCTTCTTGGCAGGGGGTTGGACTGGATGGCCCATGAGGTCTCTTCCAACTCTTTGATTCTATGATTCTATGATTGTTGTTGTTGTTGTTGTTGTTGTTATTATTATTATTATTATTAGGTGCAGGTCACCTCCAGGATCGCTATTATCATTTTTGATTATAGTGGGCACAGTTGTGTTAGTAAGAAAACCTCAAGGATTGACACATGTTGATACTGTACAAACAAACCCAAGGCATGTTATGATTCAAGAACTCCAATCACACAGAGGAAAGAGTAAGTGCATAAGAAGGTGATTAGATAGACAGGGCAATGGGAACAGAAGGAATAAAAGGAAGTGGACTGTGGTTAAAGGGTTCTCTGCCATTTGCGTCTGTGTAAGCGAGCAGACGTTGATTTGGTTGAATCAATCAATTGGGTGACTGGCCAAACCCAAATGGCTCTGACTAATGGCTGCCCTCATTCTGGAGAGACGTGGCCAGTGTGGTGCCACGGAGTCTGTTCTGGGCCAAGTGCTCGTCAACATCTTTATCAATTGCTTGTACAATGGAATAGAAGGTGTCCTTATCGCATTTGCAGGTGACACCACATTGAGAGGGATTGCTGATACCTCAGAGAATAGGATCTGGATCCAAAATGACCTTCACAGATTATAGTGCTGATTGGCCAAAATTAACCAAATGAATTTCAACAAGGACAAATGTAAGATACTATGCTTAGGCAGAAAACATTAAATGGCCCAATATAGGATGGGTGACACTTGGCTTGAACTTAGTGCATGTGAAAGGGATTTACAAGTCTTAGTAGACCACAAGCCAAATAAGAATACATGATGTGTCAGCTAAAAAGGCCCATGTGATTCTAGGCTGCATCAATAGAAGTAGAGTGTATTTATGGGAAGTCCTAGTCCCACTCTCTTCTGCTTTGGCCACATCTCAGCTGTAATACTACACACAGTTCTGGGTCACAGAATTCAAGAAGGACATTGAGGAGCTGAAAGGTGTCCTGAGAAATAGTCAACACAGATTTATCAAAAGCTTGTCATCCCAGACTCATTTGATCTCTTTTTTCAATAAAGTTGCAGACTGGGTAGATGCTGGGGACACCATGGATGGAGCGTATCTGGATTTCAGGAAGGCCTTCCTTCCTTTGACAAGACCCCCATGACCATGGCAAGCAAACTAGTCCAATGTGGGCTAGGCAAAACTACCAATACCCCAGAAGACAGGAGCAAAATTCAAATGATCTTCACAAAATGAAATTCAACAGGGACAAATGAAAGACACTCCACTTGGGCAGAAAAAATAAAATGCAAAGAGACAGAATGAGGAACTAGGCCTGGCTCGACAGCAGTGCATGGGAAAAAGATCTCGGGAGTCCTCGTGGGGCGGAAGGGGAATATGAGCCAGGAATGTCTTGTGGTGGCAAAAAAAGCCAATGGGATTTTGGCCTGCATCAATAGGAGCATAGTGTCTAGATCTAGGGAAGTCATGCTACCCCTCTTTTCCGCCTTGGTTAGACCACACCCGGAATATTGTGTCCAATTCTGGGCACCACAATTCAAGAGAGATATTGACAAGCTGGAATGTGTCCAGAGGAGGGTGACTAAAATGATCAAGGGTCTGGAGAACAAGCCCTATGAGGAGCGGCTTAAGGAGCTGGGCATGTTTAGCCTGAAGAAATCTGTGGTGCTTGGAGGAAAATTTTGAGGGTGCCTTGGATCACGAGAAGATCAAACCAGTCCATACTTCAGGAAATAAAGCCCGACTGCTCATTGGAGTGAAGGAGATGAGAGGCAAAGATGAAGTACTTTGGCCACATAATGAGAAGAAAGGAAAGCTTGGAGAAGATACTGGGGGAAAAGGAGGGAAAAAAGGAAAAGGGGCCGACCAAGTGCAAGGTGGATGGATGGTATCCTTGAAGTGACTGGCTTGACCTTGGAGGGGCCCCTGGGGGAGGCCACGGCCATCAGGGAGCTCTGGCCTGGGCTGGTCCATGAGGTCATGAAGAGTCAGAAGCAACTGAACAAATAAACAATAACAAAAAATAGGAGTCTAGTGCCTAGATCCAGGGAAGCCATGCTACCCATGCTCTATTCTGCCTTGGTCAGACCACTTTACCTGGAATCACACTGTGCCCCATTCTGGGCACCACAATTGAAGGGAGATGTTGACCCTAAGCTGGAATGTGTCCAGAGAAGGGTGACTCAAAGGATCAAGGGTCTGGAAAACAAGCCCTGTGAGGAGCGGCTGAAAGAGCTGGGCATGTTTCGCCTGCAGAAGAGAAGGCTGAGAGGAGATATGTGAGGAGAAGTCCTAGGAGGAGGGAGCAAGCTTGTTTTCTGCTGCCCTGGAGACTAGGACACAATGGAACTACAGGAAAGGAGATTCCACCTGAACATGAGGAAGAACTTCCTGACAATATTCTCTTCTCTGGGGGATTTTAGGAAGAGTTGGATGCCCGTCTCTCAAGAGTGCTTTAATTGTGTGTCCTTGCATGGCAGGGAGCTGGGCTGGTGTCCCCTGTGCTCTCTTCCAACCTTGCGATTCTACGATTCCAAGTTCTTATTAGACTCTCTGGACTTCGGAGAATCCCTTGGTTGGGGTTTCAGGGAACTCAGTCAGATTTCCAAAAACAGTGTGTATAGTCTCTCATGCAGAAGAACACTCTGTTCCCATGATATCAAAGAGAGATGATTGGCACAATTTGGAGAATCCATCACCTTTTCCCAGCAACTTGGAAGGATCTGTTGAAAGAGTGAATGCTGTGTTCATTATATAAGCCCGGTAGGCATCAAAGGGTAAAGGAAAACTGTCCACTTTGATGGAAGCAGCTTCTCTCTTCCTCTCTTCAACATCTGCAAACGTGCAAATTATGCAACCGCTCCAAGCTCCCAATGGACACGACCAACTCACTGCTAGTCCTGTCAATCATTAGCCGGCACCGGGTGTCCGTTGGAGGGTGGAGCCCTCTGGCAATCAAATATAAAAAGGTGAGAGAAAGTGTCCACGGGCTTCTCTTCTTCTTCTTCTAAAATCCTGTTTGACAAGCGACGGCTGAGACAAGGCACTCACTCTGGGCAAACATCTCTCTTTACGCAACTTCATTGTTTGCAGCCCTGGAAGCAGCACTCCCAGCATCTTCACAGAGACCCCTCCTCAGTCCTCTCCTCCTCCTCCAACTGTTCACATCTAAGACTGGTGCCTTCAGCAAGGTGTGCATTTGGGGGCCCTGATAAGGATTGGTTTCCCATTCCCCTCATTATTGGGATTATTGTTCCCTCCTTCCACGCCTTTGCCACCTGCCATCTAGATCTGTCACCATGGTCCTCTGCCACTCCGAAGCTGACAATTCACTGCTGATCTACGCCGGTGCGACGCTGCTCTCCGGAGGGACGATCCTTTACCGTGTCAAGAAAACCCGGGTGCAGAAAGCCATTCCTTTTTTCTGCGGCATCCTCCTTCTCCTGGCACTGGAAATCCTGTGCTTTGCCACCCTGAGGAATTACCTGGGCTTGAGCTTATTCTCCCTCGTGTGCCTCGCCTTCTGTGTGTACACACCGACACAAGCCATGCTACCTGTGGACCACAGAGCTGTCCTCATCACAGGTAAGAATATATATATATATATATATATACACACACACACACACACACACACACACACACACCCGGTGGCGCAGTGGGTTAAAGCACTGAGCTGCTGAGCTTGTTGATCGAAAGGTCGCAGGTTCGATTCTGGGGAGCGGCGTGAGCTTCCGCTGTCAGCCCTAGCTTCTGCCAACCTAGCAGTTCGAAAACATGCAAATGTGAGTAGATCAATAGGTACCGCTCCGGCGGGAAGATAACGGCGCTCCGTGCAGTCATGCCGGCCACATGACCTTGGAGGTGTCTACGGACAACGCTGGCTCTTCGGCTTAGAAATGGAGATGAGCACCACACCCCAGAGTCAGACATGACTGGACTTAATGTCAGGGGACTACCTTTACCTTTTATACACACACACACATACACACACACACACAATACTTTGTTAAAAGCACTGAAACAATATTATAAATGCTATCTCTTGGGAAAGGTGGTGAAGCTTTACCTACTTGATTCTGAGAATAGAACTATTCTACTTACTTTGCCTTCCCGGGGCGCACATTCCTTCATTTATTAATATCCATTTCCATTCTTCACCGGCTTTCAAAACAATACTTTTGGCACGGCAGCAGGAAGCCTGTGTTCTTTATGCAAAACCACATGAGATTTCTGCTTCCCTAACTTCCAGTGCAGTTTGTCTTGCCTATTATGCGCTCAGCAATGAGGCCCATTGAATTCACAGGTTTGGACTCCGACGTCACAAAGCATAAAGTAACAGGAAGCCTCAAAAAGCAACTACCTGAAATCCTTAACTAGGCTCCTTTTATTACTATTATGACTATTTAGTCCTGGGAATCACTGATCGAAAAGTTCTCTGCCTCCGAGAGAGAACTCCCTGCTTGTTTATGCAAATATCCACTCCAGCAAAGCCAGGGACACACTATTTTCACTTGCTGCACCGAAGAGCCTGATGGTTTGATAGATCGCTGCAGACCGAGTCACGAAAAAAGCAAACCCTTTCCTGGGTGTGTATAGCGCCTATTTACAAATTGCTTATTTGACTATGTGGTGCCTTGCCAAAGAAAGTCTAGTGCGTTTCCTGTGGATGGGTAGTGGCAAGGCAAGGAAGGGAATTCACCCGTGTCTCCTGGAAATAAAGCCCATTCACAAAATAATGACATAGCAGGCTTGTCTGAGCTTGCTGGCAGATTCTGCTAAATGCATTCTACATTCTGGTTTATTATTATTATTATTCTATCATTGAAACGTGTTGTTTCCAGCAGGGCTTGTTGCTCTTTGGGAGCAAGGTGCATGGTTTCTGTGTCCCTCTGGTGCATCTACACTGTAGAATGAATGCTGTTTGACTCCAGTTAAGCTGCCAGGATTCAATGCCTTGGAATCATAGGAGTTGTAGTTTTACAAAGTCTTTCTCTTCTAAAAAGCGCTGGTGTCTCATCAAACTTACTTACTTAGGTGATCCCTCGTAGTCTGAGAATGATGGTCCTCCGAGAGTGGTAACCTGGGGGTGGGTTTGTAGTGGCTGTGGAGCCCTATTCTTGATCTGCATCTTCTCCCACAGTGAGGGCATCAGTTTCCAGGTGGGAGGCGGTCCCGGTCGGGGTTGGCTTGACACGCCTTCCTCTTGGCACATTTCTCTCTTTCGCCCTCCATTCATGCCTCTTCAAATTCTGCAGCACTGCTGGTCACAGCTGACCTCCAGCTGGAGCACTCAAGGGCCAGGGCTTCCCAGTTCTCAGTGTCTATGCCAGAGTTTTTAAGGTTGGCTTTGAGCCCATGTTTCAATCCCTTTTCCTGTCCTCCAACATTCCGTTTTCCACTCTTGAGTTTGGAGTAGAGCAACTGCTTTGGGAGATGGAGGTTGGGCATTTATTTTATTATTTATTTATTTACTTTATTTGTATACCGCTGTTTCTCAGCCCTTAGGTGACTCAACGCGGTTAACAACAGCAGCAGCAAAAAATCAATGCTAGCATCATACAAACCATTTAAAAACAATTAAGCCAAGAACACACTAAGCAATTACACATCAGTAAACAACTCATTAGCATCTCATAACTAGAATCATGATCCAGCTCGTCATCCGTAATTCCGTTTTCCTATATTCATTGCACTGCCTATTCAAACGCCTGTTCAAATAACCAGTTTTTCACTTTTCTCCGTAATACCATTAGTGAGGCATCCGAACAACGTGGCCAGTCCAGCAGAGTTGATGGCGGAGGACCATCGCTTCAGTGCTGGTGGTCTTTGCTTCTTCCAGAACGCTGACATTTGCCCTCATGTCTTCCCAGGAGATTTGCAGGATTTTCCGGAGGCAGCGCTGATGGAATCATTTCAGGAGCTGCATGTGACGTCTGTAGACGGTCCACGTCTCGCAGGCGTATAGCAGGGTTGGGAGGACAATAGCTCTATAAACAAGCACCTTGGTATCCCTATGGATGCCCCGGGCCTCAAACACTCTCTGCTTCATTCGGAAAAATGCTGCACTCGCAGAGCTCAGGCGATGTTGAATTTTCATCAAACTACAACTCCCATTATTCCATAGCATTGAACCGTGGCAGTTAAAGATGTGTGTGTGTCATGCTGCATTCATTCCTCAGTATAGAATGTCTTGTCTGTCTGTTTCTGTCTTTTTTCTCTTTCTCTTGATGTCTTGCAGCAGGCAAAACCAAGTTACTGTGTATTATAAATCCACTTGTGAGTTTTTGAGTGGGGTGAGACCATTAGGTTTGGAGACGAACTGCACCTGGAGTCCTCCTTCCCAAGACATAAGTTCATACAATTCAAAAAAACAATGGAAGCATCTGATTCTATAAAAAATAGCCTGCATCCATCTTACAACAATTAAAATAGGCACCGGCAGATGGCAAAAGTAATGCAAACAGCATGTGTGTAGTGTAAAATTACTCTCATTCCAAGAATAACTAATCACAACAAGGTCAAAGTTGGCCCCTTATTCCAGATTCCTTATTTCCATGAAACTTCAAAATGCAACCAGATCATCCAGATGAATGAGGACAGGAGGTTTAAATTGGCTGCACCCCAAACCGAGCTTTCAAACAGCTCAAGTTGCATATAACTGTAACTGGAAAAGTTCGGGATAAATAAACCCGATCGAGACACTTTGGGAAATTGCACATCCAATACCAGTACTGAAGAAGATAATAACTGGGTGCAAGGAATTACCTTTACTACTGTCTGATGGCAAAGCGAGGCAATTGTTTGGATGCTGTTGGGCAAATATAGAATCATAGAATCATAGAGTTGGAAGAGACCTGGCGGGCCATCCAGTCCAACCCCCTTCTCCAAGAAGCAGGAAAATCGCATTCAAAGCACCCCTGACAAATGGCCATCCAGCCTCTGCTTAAAAGCTTCCATAGAAGGAGCCTCCACCACACTCTGGGGCAGAGAGTTCCACTGCTGAACAGCTCTCACAGTCAGGAAGTTCTTCCTAATGTTCAGGTTGAATCTCCTTTCTTGTAGTTTGAAGCCATTGCTCCCCGTCCTAGTCTCCAGGGCAGAAGAAAACAAGCTTGCTCCTTCCTCCCTATGACTTCCTCTCACATATTTATACATGGCTATCATGTCTCCTCTCAGCCTTCTCTTCTTCTGGCTAAACATGCCCAGCTCTTTAAGCCACTCCTCATAGGGCTTGTTCTCTAGACCCTTGATCATTTGAGTTGCCCTCTTCTAGACACATTCCAGCTTGTCAACATTTCCCTTCAACTGTGGTGCCCAAAATGGGACAGAGTATTCCAGCTGTGGCCTGACCAAGGCAGAATAGAGCGGTAACATGACTTCCCTGGATCTAGACACTAGACTCTTATTGATGCCAGCCAAAATCCTGTTGACTTTTTTTGCCGATGCATCACATTATTGGCTCATGTTTAACTTCTTGTCCATGAGGACTCCAAGATCTTTTTCACGCGTTCTGCTCTCAAGCCAGGCTTCCCTCATTCTGTATCTTTGCATTTCATTTTTTCTGCCTAAGTGGAGTATCTTGCATTTGTCACTGTTGAACTTCATTTTGATCTTCATTTTGATTCATCTCTCTAATCTGTTAAGATTGCTTTGAATTCTGCTCCTGTCTTCTGGAGTATTGGCTCTCCCTCCCAATTTGGTGTCGAACTTGTTGATCATGCCTTCTGACCCTTCATCTAAGTCATTAATAAAGAATCTGAGCAGGACCGGGCCCAGGATGGAACCCTGCTGATGGCACTCCTCATTTTTTTCCAGGATGAAGAGGAAGCATCGGGGAGAATCACACTCTGGGTTTGTTCGCTTAACCAATTACAGATCCACCTAACCGTAGTTTTGCCTAGCCCACATTTAACTAGTTTGTTTGCCAGAAGCTCATGGGGGACCTTGTTGAAGGAAGGCCTTACTGAAATCCAGGTATGCTACATCCATGGCATTTCCCGCCATAAGGCATGGTCCGACTTACTGGGCCAAAGAAGTTGCGGTGCAGGGTGTCCCCCACTGCCATTCTTGCCTTAGGGGGGGGGCTTCTTCCTCCCAGAAGCCCCCTCTGATGGCGGGAAGGATTCCCACCGGCGGGTCAATGGGCCAATGGCCAACTGACCACGCCCACCGCAGGTGAGGCCGGAGCTGGCCTCTCCCTCCTTGTGGGCAGCCTTTATAAGGCTGCCCAAGGCTCCCCAGCAGGCACTCGGCCTGCAACAGCTGATCCATCCCACCCACCCTGCATGCGGTTTATGTTTTTATTAGCAGTTAATTTTTGTTGGTGTTTACCTTGTCATGGTTACCTGTTAACAGTTACTTGTTTGTTTTATGCTCCTTGTCACAACTCCTTGTTGGCATGGGGCATGGGCCCTGGATCTGGTATGGTATCCCCCCTTGTGGTTAGGCGGGATGCCCGGTGGTTCCAGGGGTGCCGAGTTGCGTTTGCCCGGTATTGTGCCGGCGGCACCCTGGTGTGTGTGGGATCGGGCAGTATTGGGGTGCCTGATCATGATCCAGGACCCATGCTTGATTGCCAACCCTTGTTCCTGTTATCAATAAATGAGTTGTGGCCATTGTTCATCCCACATCATGTGTGAGCGTACTTCTTGGGTTGGCGGTGGGAGGTGTATCGCACTTGCACACGCAACTACCCAGCTTGTAACATCACGCCATCGAGTGACCGTTGAATAGATACGGTCTTACTTTGTAGTGTAGTTCCTGCAACAAAGCTGAGTTTCTTTCTTTCTGTGTTTCTGTGTTTGTTTGTTTCTTTCTTTCTTTCTTTCTTTCTTTCTTTCTTTCTTTCTTTCTTTCTTTCTTTCTTTCTTTCTTTCTTTCTCTCTTTCTCCAAGCTACTGGTATGTTTGCTCCTTAAAACAAGATCTCTGGGTAAGACAGGAGTTGACCCTCCCTCTCTCAGTTTATCTCCTTCTCCAAATCCGAGCAAAAATGTTTTCAGTCTCACTTGGGAGCTTTGCCTTCCATTCTTCTTTCTAAGAGGTATGTGCTGACACCACTGCAGTCTTGTAAAAACACATTTAATAAATCCTCAGGCTTTTCTCTCCCCTTCTATCTGATGATCTCAGGCGCACACTGTTCTGGCTCAAGGTATGCAGAGAGGTGACGGCAGGCTGCCTTTGCCTGGAGAGTTCTGAGCCATCTCCAACAACTTCTCCGCTTGGCAGATCTGGCCCAATCATTTCTCCAAAGGGCTAATTGGGTAAATTAGTGCCTTTGTCACTTTCTGCAGCCACCTAGGTGCTCAGAGCACAGAACTACCTGCACATTGCTGCCCGTTCGTACCTCCAGGACAAGCACTGAGAGACCATCATCAATAACCCTCTTCCACCCACCTGGAAACAACATTAGAAGCAATAAACCAAGGAAATATTAATGGGCAGAGGGAGCTTTTAGAAAAATTGCTTTTCCAGATGTTTCCCTCCTGGCCATAATGGTGGGGACTTGCATCTTAAACCATCCTTCTTTCTAAGCTACTTTCTCATGGAAGGGTGAGCGTTGTGAGTGTCGTTTCCATGGGGTTTTGTTTTGGGCCTCCTCAGGTCTCAGGATGGCAGCATGCAGGCCTGTAGCGAGGGGGGGGGTTTTAGGGGTTCAACCCCCCCCCCGAAATGTTTCAGATTTTTTTAAAAAACCTGGATTACTCATGAATTTTAACTAGTTAACCAAATCCCCATGCTAAGTCTATGAGACACAAAAAATTGAGAGTCCCTCCAGAACTGCAAGCACTATCTCAGGCAAATATTGACAATTTATTCACGCTGTCATTACTTGCAGCAATAGCCGATGTAGTGAAGCAACCAAGTTGGGGTGTGTGTGTTGAATGCTCTCATTAAGGAGGCTAGACTTGGTGGAGGTGGTTGACAGGGGCGACGCTGCAGGCTACTGAAGGATGTTCTGCGCCCTGCAGATGTGCTCTTTGATTCAGCGTGAGCTAGGAGGCAGGTTTCAACCCCTCCCCCCCGAAATTTTCAACCTCCCCGAAAATTTTCAACCCCTCCCCCCCGAAAATTTCAACCCCTCCCGAAATTTTTTTCTGGTTACGACCCTGGCAGCATGCATGTCTTTGTTGATGGTGTCCATCCATCTTTTCTTTGGGCTTTGTCCACATGGTCGCTGTTCTGCAATATCCAGATTCAGTGCTGTAGTATCTATCTGTCCGTCTGTTTATCTATCATCTATCTATCTATCTATCTATCTATCTATCTATCTATCTATCTATCGATCTATCATCTATCCATCCACCCATCCACCCATCTTCTTCTTTCTAAGCTATTTAGGAGAGATGATAGTCATGTATAAATATGTGAGAGGAAACCACAGGGAGGAGGGAGCAAGCTTGTTTTCTGCTTCGTTGGAGACTAGGACACGGAACAATGGCTTCAAACTACAAGAGAGGAGATTCCATCTGAACATGAGGAAGAACTTCCTGACTGTGAGAGCTGTTCAGCAGTGGAACTCTCTGCCCCAGAGTGTGGTGGAGGCTCCTTCTTTGGAAGCTTTTAAACAGAGGCTGGACGGCCATCTGTCAGGGGTGATTTGAATGCAATATTTCTGCTTCTTGACAGGGGGTTGGACTGGATGGCCCATGAGGTCTTCCAACTCTTTGATTCTATGAATCTATGATTCTAAGGAAGGAAGGGAAGGAAGGAAGGAAGGAAGGAAGGAAGGAAGGAAGGAAGGAAGGAAGGAAGGAGAGGCCATTCAGAGGAGCATGGAGTCTTTTTGCTTGGTTGGTCACAGGGATAGAAACAAGGGTCCACCCGCAAAGGGAGAGGATTGTATCTTGTCCTTCTCCTGCAAGCTGAGAGGGTCCATATCTTCATGGTGAGTGCCATTTCACCCATTTATTCCCATTCCGCCAGGAAGCAACCACATCCCAAAATTGTTGGACAGAGCGGAGAGAAAATGGAATACCTATCTGCACCCCACTCAAAATGGGACTCAAAGGTCCACATGAAGCATGCTCTTGGACAGAATTCCATGCAGAATGTTTTAAGAGCCTCCTTCTGATGCAACTCTTTTCCTGATTTGCATTCCCTTTAGGAAGCGACAGTGGCATAGGGCACGAGCTGGCCAAGTTCCTGGATCGCTTGGGGTTCTCTGTGTTTGCCACTGTCCTGGATGAGAAAGGGCCCGGGGCTGAAGCCCTGAAGAAGACCTGCTCCGAAAGGCTGTCCATCCTGCAAATGGACATCACCAACTCTGCACAAATTCAAGAGGTGTATCACATGGTTCGAAGAAAGCTGCAGAATAGAGGTATTTCTTTGGCTCCGCGTAGATATTTGTGGGGTTTTCCAATAGTCCAAAGACACATTGGTTGAACTTTCTTTCTTTTTTTTCTTTCTCCTTCTTAGATCTCTGGGGCCTCATCAACAATGCAGGGATCATGGGCTACACGGCGGATGGGGAATTGCTCCCCATGCGTTCGTACAAACAGTGCATGGACGTCAACTTCTTTGGTCCTGTTGAGTTATCAAAGACGTTCTTGCCCTTGCTCCGGAAATCCAAAGGAAGGCTTATTAACATTTCGAGCATGGCAGGTCAGTCGCGCCAGCTTCTTTATGGGATTCACCAATGTACAGACGTGAATTGCATGGGACAAAGTTTGGAAACGGCATGTTTTTCCAGCCAACAAACCCAGTGGGAGATTTTGGGAGTTGTCGTATCACTGAACATTATTGGGTGCTGAAATATTATCATTTTAATTCTCTTCTAATATTGATCACAACTTGCGATTTCCTCATGAATGGGATTTATGTTCTGGCTTAGTGATACATGGGTGAGTAGCAAAATTCCAATTTTGAAGAGTGCAGCAAGTACCCCAGTTTGACCCAATTGTCTCTAGTGGAGATTCTATACGAAGCTGATAGAACAGGGGTTCTCAACCTTCCTAATGCTGTGACCCCTTAATACAGTCCCTCATGTTGTGGTGACCCCCAACCATAATATTGTTTTCGTTGCTACTTCATAACAGTCATTTTACTACTGTTATATACATCATAATGTAAATATATGATATGCGGGATGCATTTTCATTTACTGGACCAAACTGGGCACAAATACTCAATACACCCAAATGTGAATACTAGTGGGGTTGGGGGAGGATTGATTTTGTAATTTGGGAGTTGTAGTTGCTGGGTTTTATAGTTCACTTATAATCAAAGAGCATTCTGAACTCCACCAGCGATGGATTTGAACCAAACTTGGCTCCCATGACCAACGGAAAACACTGGAAGGGTTTGATGGCCATTGACCTTGAGTTTGGCAGTTGTATACCTATATCCAGAGAGCACTGTGGACTCATGCAATGGTGGATCTGGACCAAACTTGGCATGGATACTCAATATGCCCAAATGTGAAGACTGGTGGAGTCTGGGGAAAATGAATCTTGACATCTGGGAGTTGTAGTTGCTGGGATTTATAGTTCATTACAATCAGAGAACATTCTGAACCCCACCAACGATAGAATTGGCTCAAACTTCCCACATGGAATCCCCATGACCATCAGAAAATACTGTGCTTTCTTATGGTCTTTGGTGACCCCTCTGACACCCACTCAGGGGTCCCGACCCCCACGTTGAGAAACACTGTGATAGAAGCTGCAACTACACTGTATCATGCAGTTGGACACCACCTTGACTTTTATGGGTCAATATGGAATCATTTGAGTTTGGTGGGGCATCAGCACTCTTTGGCAGAGAAGACCTGTTCTATTTTGAAATGGTCATATGACTGATCAAATAAATAAATAAATAAATAAATAAATAAATAAAAATAATAATAATAATAATAATTATTATTATTTTAAAACCAAAATTCCCATGATTCCATTGCATTGAGCCATGGCTGCTCAAGTGGTGACATGCTGCATTAATCCTACAGTGTAGATCAGGCATGGACAAACTTTCTAACTTGAGTGGTGGTGGTGGTGTATGGTGGGCTGGAGCAGGGTGGGTGGGCCCAGGGGGAAGAGGACTCTCCCCAAGGCTCCCTCCCCCGTTCTTTCATCCCCTTCCTCTTCTCTTTTGGATCCCAAAAGGGTTGGCCTTGGTCAGGAGGAGATGGTGGACAGGAGGGAAGAAGTGCATCCATGAGACCCTGTATTGCCTACTCCCTATATAGAACCCTAGAGCTAAAAGAGATCCCCAAGGGCCAGCCAGTCCAACCCCTTGCCATGCAAAAAGGTACAATCAAAGCACTCCCTATAGACAGCCTCTGCGGAAAAGCCTCAATCACACTCTGAGGCAGCCTAGGCCACTCTCCAACAGCTCTTACTCTCAAGAAGTTCTTCCTCATCTTTCCAGTTGAATCTCTTTCCCTGCCATTTTAACTCATTGTTTCCGTCTTGTGCCCCTCCTCCTCAATGGGACACCCTTTGACATACTGAAACATGGTTCTCCTGTTTATTATTTATTTATTTACTTTATTTGCATACCGCTCTTCTCAGCCCTTAGGCGACTCGGAGCGGTTTGCAGCAATTTAGGTATACACAATACAAAATCATTAAGCATTTAAAAGCAATCGCATCACAAATCATTAAACATCAATATCAATACATCACTACATCAATATAACAAATCCACCAGGTCTCATCAATGAAATCAGAATCCAAACTCGTTACCCGATATTCCGTGTTCCGATAGTCAGTCAATCAATCACACTGTTCAAACAGCCAGGTCTTTACTTTCCTCTGGAATGCCAGCAAGGAGGGGGCCGATCTAATATCTGCAGGAAGGGCGTTCCACAGCCGAGGGGCCACCACTGAGAAGGCCCTATCTCTCGTCCCCACCAGGTGTGCTTGTGAAGCCGGCGGGATCGAGAGAAGGGCCTCCCCAGACAATCTTAATGTCCTAACTGGTTCATAGGAGGAGACGTGTTCGGACAGGTAGGTTGGGCCAGAACCATTTAGGGCTTAAAGGCTAAAGCCAGCACTTTGAATTGTGCCCGGTAGCAAATTGGCAGCCAGTGGAGCTGGCGCAGCAGAGGAGTGGTGTGCTCCCTGAGTGCCGCTCCTGTTAGCATCCTGGCTGCCGATCTTTGGACCATTTGAAGTTTCCAAGCAGTCTTCAGAGGCAACCCCATGTAGAGAGCATTGCAGTAGTCTAAACGGGATGTGACTACAGCATGGACTACCATGGCCAAGTCAGGCTTCCCAAGGTACAGGCGCAGCTGGCACACTAGTTTTAACTGTGCGAATGCTCCCCTGGTCACCGCTGAAACCTGAGGTTCAGGCTCAGCGATGAGTCCAAGATCACACCCAAGCTGTGAACCTGCGTCTTCAGGGGGAGTGTGACCCCGTCCAACACAGGCTGTAACCCTATGCCCTGTTCGGGCTTGCGACTGACCAGGAGTACCTCTGTCTTGTCTGGATTCAATTTCAATTTGTTCGCCCTCATCCAGACCGTCACAGCGGCTAAGCACCGGTTCAGGACCTGAACAGCCTCCTTAGTAGTAGGTGGAAAGGAGTGACAGAGTTGGACATCATCTGCATACAGATGACATCCTACCCCGAAACTCCGGATGATCTCTCCCAGCGGCTTCATGTAGATGTTAAACAACATGGGAGACAATATTGAACCCTGTGGAACTCCCTCTCTCCCTTCTCTTCTCCCAGCTAAACATCCCCCAGGAGGAAAGGAGGAAGGAACGACAGAAGGGAGGAAGGAAGGAAGAGTGGAAGGAAGGGAGGGAGAGAGGGAAGGAGGGAGGGAAGAGAGAAGGAAGGATAGGATGGTGTAAGAGAGAGGAGGGCCTGGGAAAAGAGCCCATACTGGTGTAGATGTATCTATTCTTGAGTTTCAAGAACTTTATGAGTATCATAAACTCACAAAGTTCTCCACCCATTGCGTAGGTTGTTGTAGGAAAGGTAGCTTGTAGCACATGGCCTAAGTCCAATTCCTAACACTAATAGACTTGCTGAATCAATATTAGCATAGGTGTTGACCTACCATTCGGCAATTGAACCCATGGGACTGCTCCAAGTGGGACTGGTTATTGGCTAGAGGCCTATGGGAACTGTTATAGAAACAGTGCACTCCACACACAAAAACAACCCACTATGCCAGGGGTTCTCAACCTTCCTCATGCTGTGACCCCTTAATACAATTCCTCATGTTGTGGTGACCCCCAATCATAACGTTATTTTCATTGCCACTTCATAACTGTCATTTTGCTATTGTTATCAATCGTAATGTAAATATCTGATACACAGGATGTGTTTTCATTCACTAGACCAAATTTGGCACAAATACCTGATATGCCCAAATTTGAATACTGGTGGGGTTGGGGTGTGTGTGTGTGTTGATTTTGTCATTTGGGAGTTGTGGTTGCTGGGATTTGTAGTTCACCTACAATGAAAGAGCATTCTGAACTCTACCAACAATGGAATTGAACCAAACTTGGCACACAGAACTCCCATGGCAAACAGAAAATATTGGAAGGGTTTGGTGGGCATTGACCCTGAGTTTTGGAGTTGTAGTTCGCCTACATCCAGAGAGCACTGTGGACTCAAACAATGATGGATCTGGACCAAACTTGGCATGAATATTCAACATGCCCAAATGTGAACACTGGTCGAGTTTGGGGAAAATAGTCCTTGACATTTTGGGAGTTGAAGTTGCTGGGATTTGTAATTCACCTACAATCAAAGAGCATTCTGAACCCCACCAACGATAGAACTGGGCCAAACTTCCCACATAGAACCCCCATGACCAACAGAAAATACTGTGTTTAGTGACCCCTCTGACATTCCCTCGTGACCCCTCCAGGGGTCCCGACCCCCAGGTTGAGAACCACTGCACTATGCAGTAATTTCACCAAACATATCCTGGTGGTGCAGTGGGTTAAACCCTCATGCCGGCAGGACTGCTGCTCAACAGGTCAGCGGTTTGAATCTCGGAGAACGCGGATGAACTCCCTCTGTCAGCTCTAGCTCCCCATGTGGGGACATGAACAAAGCCTCCCACAAGGATGGTAAAAAATCAAAAAACATTCGGGCAACGTCCCCCAGGCAATGTCCTTGCACACCAGAAGTGACTTGCAGTTTCTCAAGTTGCTCTTGACACAGAAAAAAACCTCCCAAAACCAAAAATCCCCAAACCTATCTATCATTCTACATCCAACCCGCTGTCATCATTATGACAAGCCTACAGCCTGAGTCGACATCAGCACATTATGCATCTTTAAGAGTCTCATCTGTCGTGTTTCCATTTCCACATTTGTTATAATGGAAACACGAGTTCGCTTTCAGCACTTTTATTTGGCAGCCAAGGAGTTCTTTTTCCCTTTCTTTCTTTCTTTCTTTCTTTCTTTCTTTCTTTCTTTCTTTCTTTCTTTCTTTCTCCTGGAATGTCACCCAGACTGTGAGTTTTCCTTCGTGACATCAGGGATTGATGAAGACAGGGCAAAATGAGGCAGTAGCCAGCTTGTTAAAACATCACCTCATCTCTTCACTCCTGTTTTGGGCTCGTTGTCAGCATGGCAGGCACCCAATGGCAGATGCATTTATCAATTTCAGCAAGTGGAAAAGGAAAATAAGGGG